GGACAAGCGACAGCCATGAAAGCATCCTCACTGCAGACGTGCCTCGGCGGACTCACTCCTAAGGGCTGGTCCCTCCACTACACAGTGCCCTGAACTGGTTCCTGTCAACTACTGGGCTGCACCATCACCCCAAAGTCTCACAAGGTGAGGAACTTGCTTTTGGCACCAAAAGGCCTTCACAGCAAGTACTTTTCCTCTTCCTGTGGGCAGAGACAGCTGGTCTCTGAGTTCTGTTTACAGACAGGGCTTGAGGAACTGGTGGCCTTGTGTTCACACTGTGCTTGAGGGAGACCTGGGTTTGATTCCCATTGACACACCTCATGCACAGCCAACACCTGTCCGTAGAGATGTAAGTTTTGCTTTGACACTGAGCAGATTTAAGGGGAGCTTCCAGACTAAGCTAGGCCTCGGGACCTACAACGCAAAACCCAGCCACTGAAAATTGCTCATTTGCACAATGGTACCTGCCTCAACTGATCCTGGGGCAACCAGGGACAGAGAGCTCAGTTTATATGCTGGGGTCACACTAGGGCTGACCTAATGATACCCAATAAAGCTACATCCCTCCAGTATCTAATATAATTCAACTTTCTACTGTCCAAACAGGAGTGGCATCCACCTTTGAAACAGCTTGTCTCCTGAAACTCTATGAACTTGGAGAAATGATGACAGTTATAAAAGTGTTCAGGTCTTTCATTCACAGGGTTGCTATGAGTCGTCCACGACTCGACAGCACTTAACAACAACAACACCATAGAGAGAGCTCTGTTAGCCTTTTGGACAGAAAGTGATGTCACCAAACCAAAGGTGGGTGATTTTAACCTGTGGCTGTCAGGCCTGGTTTTAACTGGTTTTGGTCAAACATTCTTTTAAGTGGTATAGCACTGATCTGTCCATTTGCTGTACAGAGGTAACTCATACTTGCTGTGATGCTAAACACTGTGACGCTGATGTGTCAAATGCGATAATGTTTACCCATGGTGGGCAGTGTTTGGTGGAGCTCCCTGATTAAAACAAGCTTGGAAGCAGAGCTTGCCTCTGGAAACCCTATGAACTTGGAGAAATTACCAAAGTTATACAAGTGTTCATATTTTTCCATAGGGTCGCTATGAGTCATCTACAACTCACCACCGTCCAAACAGAGTCAATGTATAGTTTACAGCTTTTAGAAGCTGTAAACCTAGCCCCTCATTCATTTCTGCAAACTACCAGATGGTAAAATGACTTGGGAGAGTGTACAGTATGACTCAGTCCGGCTGTGTCACTTGGGATGGAGTCAGGAGAGTCACAGGGGAAGACTGCTACCATTAGGGCAGGTGGACTGAAGCCTGCTCTGGCTGGTGTGACAGTTGAGAGGAGAAGCCCTAGCACTGCTAGCACTGCGGGACCAGGCCACTGAGGCCCCAAGCAGAGTGGTTTGTACCAGCAATCTATTTACTTCAGAACAATGAAAGCTCTTCCCAGGCAGAGACAGAGTGATCAGCTGGCCTGACAGATGCCACTATCCACAGTTCCACTAGTGTCCACAGGCCACTCACCCTCGTCGCCTCCACTGCAGCCTCCTGCTGGTGGGATTTCCACGGGAGAGCGGAGAAAACCAGACCTGCAGCTGGTCATTTATTATGGCGGGGAGTCCAGTGACGCCAGAGCCAGAGTTGAAACCCAAGACCGGCAGGAAAGCCAGACCTCCTTGCTATGGCCCTCAGAAAGGCTGCAGGGCCAGTGTTTCCAGGGGTCTTCATCTGCCAGGCCCACCCTGCTTGTCTGCTAAAGCTGGACACTGTCCAAGGTCTGCCCAAGGACACTGGGCTCTTCCCACCTGGTGCCCTGCACCACAAGGCACTGGTGGCCTGGCCTGTACTTTCCACACTTGATTCAGCACCTTTCTCAACTTGATTCAGTTCCTTTCTCAAGCCGAGGCCTGACCGACACAGCCGGGCACACACCCACAGCCATGCTACAAGGCTGTGAGACTCAGCTCTAAGAAGCTGAGCCAGTGTCCTGCAGGGTCCACGTGGCAGGGTCCATATGGGCTCTAGTAATGGTCCTTTTGCCTTCAAATCACACCAGGCTCAAGAACCCACAACTAAGCTGACATTTAGCATGCAGCAGAATGAAAAATCACATGGGCACATCTCTCCTGATTGGTGATACAAGGTTCCCACACAGCATGGCTTTGTTCATTGTAAGCGGATATTTACTGCAACCAGACACCAAGCAGGACAGACCATCACCTCTGCACATCTATAAGGACCTACAGCTTCACTTCCTCTCATGTGCTTATTCACGAATCTCCAGAAGCGGTTCTGTCTGAGCAGGGATAGTAGAAGGTGTTTGTAGTCACACACCTTGGCCTGAAAATTTGTCAGCTCTTAACACTTCCCCAGTTCAGGGGAGGCCAGCATGGAGAGGTACACAAAAGTGACAGCCAGCAAAGATAAACACAATCATATACACAAACTTGCATCCTCAGTAATATCAGACACTCGGCTACAAGCAGAAGAAAACTTGAACAGAGGGACAAGATGGGCAGGCATGTGGAGGCAAAGGAGATTACAGCCATGACTACAAAGTGTTGGCAGGCGACACTCTCTAGATACCTACTATACATATTTGGAGCTTTAGGGACTAGTGGGCAGTTTGAATCCACCAGTAGTTCTGAAGGAGATAGATGGGCACTCTCCTTCCATGTGACTTACAGACTCTGAACACCTCCTGGTGGGTCACCTATGAATTGGATCCAACTTGACAAAACATATTATCAATATACAGACAGCCATATAAGACAGATAGATGTGCTGTAAACAGATTCATGTGTATGTACAATATACCAAATGGGGCAACTTATTAAAAACTTCCTAGTCACATCCCAACACCCGAGGGAATGAGCTGCTGGGCCTGACAGTGCTCGATCTTCTACTTTGGTAATAGCTACTGAGGTCCTATCAGCTTAAGAGCAGCCATCTAACATGCAGCTACTGACCTCTCCCAGAGAGAAGAAGACTGAAGAAAATCAAGTCTAACATTTGTCCAGAGGGCTAACCAGGCACATGAACCTCAGAGCTGTGACCATGAGGCCAGAAGGACTAGACAGTGCCCGATTCTCACTGCCACCGGCCCTAAGAGGGGTCACAAAAGGAGGTCCTGGGTGGAGAAGGGGGAAATGTGTACCCAAACTCTGAGTCATAGAAATGATTGGGCTTAATTGAGAGATAAAGGTGGATCTCCCAAGACTCTGTCATCTAATCACCCTTCAAGTTTGGGACTGAAATCATACCCATGACTCAACCTCCAGCCAAACAAACAGGCCTAAGTGACCACTCTGTGGACGTGCTCACTCCTTAGAACTGTCAACCTTCCAAGGTCAGCACAGCAGTATCTGCCCAGGGATACAGCTCAGAAGGTGGGAATGGAGATAAGAAACACAGGGAGGAGATGGGCAGACAACGCAGACACTGCAATCAATGTCATAAAACATAATGTGTACAAATTGTTGACAGGAAAGCCAACCTGCTTTTTTACTCCAATTACAATGTTTTTGTTGTGCACTGCTGAGTTGGAACCCAGCGGGTTTTCAGAGGCTGTAAATCCCACAAGGGATTGTCCATCCTTCTCCCTCAGAGCAGCTGGCAGATTCCAACCGTTTGCTTCACACTGCTAGGTTACCAGAGTCCCACAATCACCTTTCAGTGAGGAGTGAGTTTTGTTTTGCTTTGGTTTGTTGTTGGTTTTGGGGTTGTTGTTTTTTTTAAAACAAAACAAACAAACAAACAAAAAACCAGATATGGGGGGAAAGGCTCCTAGTTTACTTCCCTGTTATTTCTCTGGTAAAGCTCTGAGTTGAAAACCCAGAAAAGAATTTTCTTTTAATTCTGTCAGAATAAGGCAATGCGGGCAGTTTATTTTTCACCCTTTCACACTCACCTCACATTCAAGTGGTCTTATTACCATGAACTTTTTGAATGAATAAAATATATCAGCACACTCGGGCCTGAAAATCAGACTAAGCTGGTAACTACAATTATTTCCACAGTCAGTAACTTTCTCTGAAACACTCTCCACACTGAGCCCCTGCAGACTCAGAGCAGTGGTCAGCAAGGTGCAAGCTTCATTTGTATATATATATATATATATATATATATAGTCACTCATTTTGAGTCTGTTCTTCATCCATCAGGGTTTAGTTTGAAAGTCCGAACACATGGTTTGAATTCTAGTGGCACCAAAGAGGTGAAAACTAAAAAGGAGATCTGAAGTTTCTTAGCAACACAAAGCCCTGCAGCGGTGCCCCTCACAGAAGTCTGGAGCGACACCAGCGCACCCCAAGGCTTGCCGAGCATCACAAGCCCTCGAGCCTCACCTCCTCCAGCGAAAAAGTGGGCGCCACAAAACGGACCCGCAAGACCTAAACAGTGGACCAGGCTCACCCGGCCAATATCTCGGGGCTGTCTAGGGATTCCGTTCTCCACTTCCACCACTTCTAACCTTGGCTAGCAGGCAAATCCTTCTTGCTCACAACCACCCTGTGGTGGGTATTATTATCCTTGTTCTCCACAGGCATTAACTGAGGCGCTGAGAGACGTCACCAGGCCACGCAGCCTGAAGTGGTGGGGCTCGGCTAGAACCCACGCTGCTCTGGTTAAAAGGCTCTGCTCTGTCACTCAGGGTTGGTCCGCTCCTGGCGAAGCAGGCTATCCTGTAGCGTGGACAGAAGGCCTTTAAAGACCCTCTGCTCTCGGGACTGCCCCCCTGCTCGGCCCCCAGGGCCGTACCCCTCAAGTTCGCGCGGGGACACCTCCCCCCTCGACCCCCAAGTCCTCGCCGGGACGGCTCTCCCCTCGGCCCCCCAAGTTCGAACCAGGAAGCCCCTCCCCTCCGTCGCCGAGACAGTGCCCCTAAGTCCGCTCAGGGACGCCCCTCCCCTCGGCCACCCGAGCACTGTTCCCAGGCCCCTGCAGGGACGTCCCTCCCCCTCCCCCCCAGCCCGGACGCGCGCCCACCTCATCCCCGAAGCGCACGATCTTCTGGCCGGTGGGCGGGCGCGGGCCGGGGAGGCCGCCGGGCGCGGGGTCCGGGGCGCGGGGCGCGGCGTAGCGCGCCTGGACGTGCGGGCCCACCAGGTGCTGGTCGATGACCTCGTCCTGCTGCGCCGGGGCCAGCCGCTCCCACTCGGGGCCGTACTTCTCCCGGACCTTTTCCTTGTCCTGCATGATCTTCCTGGCCATAGGGCTCAGCGACGAGAAGTAGGTGAAGCGCTTTCGCTCCTTGTCGTCCAGAGGCCGGTTCCCGTTCATGACGGCTGAGCGCGAGGCCGCGATTGCCGCCGCCATGGAGGCCATGGCAGGACCCTGCCCAGCGCGCCGCCGCCCGGCACGCACCGCCCCC